ATCCAACAACTGCAAGAGATGATCGCCAGCACCATCAAGGCGCAGTACGAAGGGAGCTCAAATACCTCATCATTCTACTCAAAGCCCTACTCCAAGAAGATTGATGCCCTAAAGATGCCAAGGGGTTATCAACCACCAAAGTTCATGCAGTTTGATGGAAAAGGAAACCCGAAGCAACATGTCGCACATTTTGTCGAAACCTACAACAATGCAGGGACGGAAGGAGATTACCTCGCCAAGCAGTTTGTGCGCTCGTTAAAAGGAAACGCCTTTGAATGGTACACAGACCTGGAGCCTGAATCTATCAACAGCTGGGAACAGTTGGAAAGGGAATTCCTCAACCGCTTCTACAGCACCCGCCGCACCGTGAGCATGTTAGAGCTGACAAGCACGAAGCAATGGAGGGATGAGCCAATCGTGGATTACATCAACCGATGGCGCAATCTGAGCCTCGACTGCAAGGACAGGCTTTCGGAGATCTCTTCGATCGAGATGTGCGTCCAAGGCATGCAATGGGGGTTACACTATATCCTTCAAGGCATCAAACCACGAACATTTGAAGAGTTAGCCACCCGTGCCCACGATATGGAGCTAAGTATTGCCCATCACGGGAAGAAAGAGCCGATCACCGACTTCAAGAAGGATAAGGTGTTCTCCCCAAATGTAGACAAGACTGGGAAGAAACCCCCCAATGAAGCGTTCACCGTCAGCACTGCGCCCGTCAAGACCGTCTCCACGCCTATCAAGATCTCCTCTAAAACCAAAGCAAATGAGATAAAGAAAAGTGAGCCTCCTCGTACCCAAGAAAGGTACAAAAGCACCTTGAAGGAATTGGAGCAGAAGGTATACCCTTTTCCTGACTCAGACATGGATGCAATGTTAGACGACTTGCTAGAAAAGAAGGTAATTGAGCTACCCGAATGCAAGCGGCCTGAAGAAATGAATCGCATAAACGATCCTAAATACTGCAAGTACCATCGAATCGTGAGCCATCCTGTGGGTAAATGCTTCGTCCTCAAAGAGCTCATCATGAAACTAGCACAACAAGGGCGAATCGAGCTCGACCTCGAAGACACGGCCGCGACGCACACTACTACAATTGCATTTGGATCTTTCGATCCTGTGCCTCTCCAAGTAGCACTTGACCATTCCTATCAACGCTCAAGTTACACGATACCTTCTGCACAACCATCACCGGGGCAAACGAACAAGATGCACATGCCGATGATGAAGAAGGATGGACATTGGTGACCTACAAAAAAATAAGGAAACCAAAACCACAAGCCATAAGACAAAAGGTGGAACAAGTGAGAAAGCACTGTCCCCGCAACAGTGGGAAGCCCAAAAGGAACGTAAAAGTTGATAAGCCAATGTATGTTGGGGAACCTACGGAGCAAAAGCCACGCATTCCTATCTTATTACACGAGTACTTCCCGAACGACTTCTTCCAACAGGGCATTATCGCTGCATGCCACACTTTACCATTGAGGAAGCGCTGCGATTACCAAAGAAGATGCGAATAGCATTAGCAGCAATCTTGGAAAGTCCCAATGACCACGAAGTGCAAGAAAGTAAGAACGAAGGCTTCAAACTTCGGCCACATGAATATGGCACATGCTGTGCTATCGAAGACACAATCCATTTCACCGACGAAGACTTGCTGCTAGGATCGAAGCCTCACAACCGTCCTCTCTTCGTCTCTAGGTACGTAAGGGAGCACAAAGTCAACCGCATGCTTGTGGATGGTGGATCAGCCATAAACATCATGCCAAAGTCAACAATGACTACAATCGGCATCAAGGTGGATGAACTGTCCTTAAGTCGTCTACTAATTCAAGGTTTTAATCAAGGAGGACAAAAAGCAATGGGCATGATCCGAGTAGAGATGACTATTGGTGAACTCAAGTCGAGCACGATATTCCACGTGATTGATGCAAGAACTTCCTACGGCTTGCTCTTAGGAAGGCCTTGGATCCATGCAAATGGAGTAGTACCGTCCACCCTTCACCAATGCTTGAAATTCTACCGAGAAGGAGTGAAGGTGATCTATGGCGACACCAAACCATTCACCGAAGCCGAATCACATTTCGCAGACGCCAAGTTCTACATGGATGAAGACATGGTGCTCGAAGCTCTTCCAAAAGAGATCAAATCCACGGGTAAAGCAACACCTAACAAGCAGGAGTGGCAAGCCATGCCCAAGAAGCAAGAAGAAGAAGCCATGTCGTCTTTAAGCAAGAATGATGATGAGCTTGCTAAACCTGCAACAACCAAAGGGAGTAAGACGCCCTCAAATGTATTAAACACACCCGTTTTCCGATACATCCCGATGTCAAGAAGAAAGAATGGTCAATCCCCATTCGAAACTGAAGCAAGCAAAGTCGATGCACAACGGTACATGGATAATGTAAAGTTGCTCAAGACGAATGCAGTTCTACCTCTGACACAGCTAAGCAACGCTAAGGTTGCAAGATTACCACAAGGCTTCGTAAAAGCTCTACCAAAGAGAGCGGAACCAAGTTTTCTCCCAACCAAGAGGACTGAAGAAGTTTTTGATCCGAACGCCTACAAACTCATGTCAAAAGCTGGGTACGACTTCGTTTCTTCTTCAAATCCTGGAAAAAAGGTTTCAAACACCGTCAACAATAAAGAACGTGACCTCACCGAGACTCAAAAGAAGTTGAAGAAGTATGGTTACGGAGTTAACAACAACAAAGCTGGACTTGGCTTCACACCAAATGCACCCGTGAAGATTTCAAGCCAAGCGAAAAATGCTAGCACTCAACATATCAGTGTGAGCATTGAACAAGATCAAAAGGAGCCTAAATCCACCCCTCGAACGCCAGTCTTCGATAGGATGAATCGTTTAAGACCTAGAACGTCAGCCCTTGATCACATTGGTGGTCAAAACCGAACCTCCGTCTTCAAGAGGCTTAACAGGCCAACCTCCCGAAGCTCTATTTTTGAAAGGTTGTCAAAACCTAATAAGCAAAGCAACACAGCTAGCTCTCCTCCTCGTCAGTCAGCTTTGGAAAGACTTGAAGACAACATGAAGTTTTCTGGAAATAGGGAAACAACGTCAAAGGAAGAAAAGCTCGACAGGCTAGCAGGAAAAGGTGATATTCGAAGCTCGATTCCTTCAAGGATGAAGCGCCAAGCAACTTTGGAAGTCGACACAAAAGGACCACTGAAGGTAAGGAGGCGCACCATCATCTACACCGGCCAATCTTCACGGCAACAAACCCAAGAGGACTGCACTGAAGAGAAGGCCCAAGAAGACAAAGAAGACGAAATCCTGGAAGAAGACGTCACTTCCGGCTCTGTCAACCCAAAATCTTCACCTCAATCGCTAGGGGCATGTTCCAAAAACATGCCAGTCAAGCCGAGTGAAGTTGAAGGATGGACATATGTCACTCCAAAGAAACTGCACAAGAAACATATGTCTTTTCCACAAGTTCACCAATGGGAAAGGGGGCAAAGTAGCTCTTGTTCACCTCCAGAACAATGTGAAAGTGTTAGAGATAATGAAACTTTGACACGAAGATCATCCGTCCCCATCACGATGCGTGATTTCTTTCCTGAAGACTTCTTCAACTACTCAGTCAAGGCTCCTTGCTATGAAGATTGCGAGGAACGACTCTCTCAGATCGCTTGACGAACAAAGCTCCTTGTCCGCACGAGCCTAAACTGTAGGACACGAAGCTCCTCGCCTACACGAGCCTAAACTGCATGGCACAACACTCCTGGTCTGCACGAGCATAAAAGGCAATACCAAATGCTCCTTGTTCGCACGAGCCTAAACTGCACGAACCAAGGCTCCTCGCCTGCACGAGCCTAAACTGCATGGCACAACGCTCCTGGTCTGCACGAGCATAAAAGGCAACACCAGAGCTCCTGGCCCGCAAGAACATAAACTGTGTACGGCAAAATCATCATCAAAATCATAAAAAAAAAATGGATTTGAACTACGTTACGACTTGATCTCTTCTTTGGAGGGGTACGTAGGCAGCTCGAATGTTCAATTTTTCGAGTTCAGTCACATCAAGATAAAAAAAATAAAAATAAAATAAATGTTTTATTAAAGAAAGTCAATTTTTGTTTAAAAAAAAAAATATATATATATATATATATATGAGTGTTTCGGCCCAGCAGGCCACAAGCCCAATTCGGTTCTTCATATGCGAAGAAACCCAAACCAGACTTCTCCAAAGCAGCGGGTATAATCACCGGTGCTAGCCCGAGTCCGAGCCCACGGCGAGAATGGAAGCTTTTTTCAGAGGTTGGCGTCAGCACTACCGTCGGAAACTTCAAAGCCGCAATCTCCAACAGAGTTCCTCTGTCCGATCCCTGGCTCTCTGATGACTCCCGTGGATCTCTCCTCCCTTTCCCTTCGTCTCTGTAGAAATTTGGGGCACCCGGAGGGCACCCAAATTCAGTCTCTCTCTTCAGTTCCCACAGCGCCGTAGTTTCTGATCTATGATGCACGGGTTGGATCGACAACCTCCTCTTCTGCTTCTACCTTCACCGTCAATCAGACCAAAGTCAAACAAATCTCATGGAACCCTAGAGCTTTCATGTACGAAGGTCTGCTGACAGACGCCGAATGCGATCACTTGATCTCCATCGCGAAATCAGAGCTGAAGAGATCCGCCGTCGTTGGAGCATCGAGGAGCCACCCGGCATCGCTGAGCGAGTCAAGGCTATTAGAAGACATCACAGGAGGAATCTCGACGACCCCAGTCCGTCAAACCAGGAGGCTGACCCAAATCCCAAATCTTCCGAGACCTGTTGCTCGACTTTATTGCAGAATCAAAATTTTCCCAATCCAAGATCCTCTCTTTCTCTCTTCGATGGCTCCGAGGAAACTGGTAGAAGACCCGCCGGCCGCCCTGGTGGAGAACTTTGACGATAAAGATCAGAACCAAATGGACTCTGACCCAAATCAATCCAGTGTGAATTGTCTGATGATTCATCCCCACTGAAGATTGGACTCTTCATAACCTCCCCAATCGAAATGCTCTCCGCTTCTTCAAAAATGGTGCTTGCACCATCCCTGTCTGAGAGCCTGGTCATTCAAAGCTCTCCTCGTCGTCGTCGGCGGCCAGAGTTCTGGAAAGTCGTTGGTGTTAGAGAGCATCGTCGGGCGTGATTTTCTTCCGAGAGGATCTGGAATGGTGACCAGGAGGCCATTGGTCTTGCAGCTGCACAAGACAGAACAGGGAATGCAGGAATACGCCGAGTTCCTCCACTTGGAAAAGAAAAGATTCACTGATTTTTCTGCTGTTCGAAGAGAAATTCAGGATGAAACTGACAAAATTACTGGGAGATCAAAACAGATATCTAATGTTCCTATTCATCTCAGTATCTACTCCCCAAATGTTGTCAATCTAACTTTGATAGATTTGCCTGGTTTAACCAAGGTTGCTGTAGAGGGACAGCCAGAGAGTATCGTTCAAGACATTGAAAACATGGTTCATTCTTATGTTGAGAAGCCTAATTGCATCATTCTGGCAATAACTCCAGCCAATCAGGACATAGCAACATCTGATGCTATCAGGATTGCTAGACTAGTTGATCCTACAGGTGAAAGGACATTGGGTGTGTTGACAAAGCTTGATTTAGTGGACAAGGGAACAAATGCTTTGGATGTTCTTGAAGGAAGGTCTTATCGGCTGCAACACCCTTGGGTCGGAATTGTGAACCGTTCACAAGTTGATATTAACAAAAATGTGGATATGATTGCTGCCAGGCGGAGGGAGCGTGAATTTTTTAATTCCAGTCCAGATTACGCACATTTGGCAAGCAAAATGGGTTCAGAATATCTTGCAAATCTTCTCTCAAAACATTTGGAGTCTGTAATTAAAGCTCGCATTCCAGGAATAGCATCTTTGATCAATAAAAGCATCAGAGAACTTGAAGCGGAGTTGGATTATCTTGGTAGACCTGTTGCTATTGATGCAGGGGCACAGTTATATACTATCCTAGAGTTATGCCAGGCATTTGACCGGATATTCAAGGAGCATTTGGATGGAGGACGACCTGGTGGAGATTAACCAGAAGCTGATTGCTGTCGGGGAAAGTGACGACGAGGACGAAATCGAGATCGTGAAGTCCCTGCCAGAGCCACTTCGTGAATTTGCTTCACAGTTTCTTATTGAATTGGCTTCAAAAGCTGCATCATCCAATCTAGTGCTTGCAGAGCTGATTAAATGCTCCTCGAAGATGGGCTTGTCGTACTTGATTCCAAATGCCCATGTTCAGATGGCTCCACCAGTGCTTCATATACCTTCAAGGATAGTGGTGTTTTATCCGATCGACATGCAGCTACAAAGGAGTTGGAGGTTGATATCCCAGATTCATCCAAGCTCTATTCTCCCTCTGGGATGGTTGAATCAAAGTCAGTGGGAACGTTTTCATCTTTCCAAAAGCAAGATAGTCACAGGGGTCTCTTTGTGGATAGGGGTGTTGGATTTCCTAGGCTAGTTAAATCTTCTAGTACTAGTACTTCCTCCGAGTCCAGGTTTGATACAAACAAAAAAAAAAAAAAAAAAAAGAATTCGATGCTAGAAGCTGCTGGAGCGGTTGCGGCTGCAGATGTAGCTGATCAAATGCTTGGACCAAAGGAAGATAAACATTTGGCAATTGTCCTGGTTGGTTTGCCTGCTCGTGGAAAAGCTTTTACAGCAACTAAGCTTACAAGGTACCTCCGCCATGGTTGCTGCCTTTGAATGTGATTGACAAAACCAAAGTTTGTCAACTCACACCCAAAGGCCTTCTCTCCGTCCGTAACAAACAACAACGACGAAGAACTTCAATAAACCGCCATCAAACGACTAGCCGGTAGTGAAGCTCAATGCCTTGCATTCTACCTCAAGCTCTAGCTGCTTCTGCACCTCCGCCATGGTTGCTGCTTTTGAATGTGATTGACAAAATCAAAGTTTGTCAACTCACACCCAAAAGCCTTTTTCTCCGTCTGTGACAAACAACGACGACGAAGAACTTCAATAAACCGCCGTCAAACGACTACCCGGTCATGAAGCCTCGACTGCAGCTCACCGTCCGTCCAGTTCCATCCCTACAAAGCACCATATATAAAGAAAAAAAAATAAAAAATAAAAAAAAAGGTTTTCAAATGGTGGCCAGCCACCGAAAGCAAAGAAAGAAAGTGATTGACAGATTGACAGGCACCATCCAAAAGGAAATGACAAAAAAAAAAAAAAAAAAAGAAGGTTTTCAAATGGTGACCAGCCACCGAAAGCAAACAAAAGAAATGATTGATAGGCACCATCCAAAAGGAAATGACAAAAAAAAAAAAAAAAAAAAAAAAAAAAAAAAAAAAACAAGAAAGGCAGGTCATGGTGTATGCTACTATTAGCAATTATGAAAAAGGAAACAGGTGATGGAGACAGAATAATTGAAAAGAAGAAAGCAGGGGGAAGACGACGAATTTCCGTCTAAAAAAATAGGGAGTAAAAGAATAGTGCACATTAGGTACCATCTAAATTAAAAAAAATAAAAAAAAATAAAAAAAATAAAAAAAAATAAAAAAAATAAAAAAAGAAAAGAGGGAGTAACACATCTTAGTCAGATATATGTTTTAGCACAACATACTGAATAAAGTAAAGCATGTCCATTGATATCTCAAAAAAAAAAAAAAATTACAAGGATGTTAAAAAAAAAAATAATTAAATAATAATTAAAAAAAAATTATTAAAAAAAAATAAAATGAAGTCAAATCAAATTTACAGGAAGGGATCTTCAAGGATGATCAGGTGGCGCCTCATCACTCGGCGGAGCTCCAGAAAGACGAAGCACCAGAGATTGATTATCCGGAGCTTCAACACTTGGTGAAGCGCCAGGGGACGAAGGCAGAAGTTGCCGCTGGAGTAACGTCACAAACCTCTGATGATCACTCTGAATCCGAACTTCGGACTCCTGCAATTGGTCAAGCTTCCTCTTCATGCTTGTTGAGTAATTAGTTGCGAGCATGTGCAACTCTTTATTCTCGTGCCTAAGCACCCTGACCTCTTGCCGAAGACTGGCCACCTCAGCCATCAACGACTCAACCTGACGAGATCGAGCAAGAAGGCGTTGGCCCATGTTTGAAACTGAACCTGCACATCGGACGCTGTAGGCCAGAGAGTCCTGAACAGCCAGTTCATCGGACCGCCTGGAAAGCATCCTAGTGTCTCTAGGAGTGAGAAGATTTCTGGCCACCACCGAAGCGGTTGTATCGTTCATCATCATAGAATCCCCAATTGTAAGAGGACCATTGGGAGATACGAAGGACGGCTGCCAAATGTTGTTTGAAGAAGATATGTCATTATCTTCCCCGACATTCAAGTTAAGACGACGGTCAGAAGGGTAAGACATTTTCGAAGGTGTGAAGAAAAAGAAGAGGTCGGACAAATCAAGTTCTTAGAAGTGCAAGTAGGGAGCTTCTACAGGCGGAAAATTCAAGTATGCTTTGGAATGTGATGCGTGCCTTTCTTTTAAAATCAACACTTTCAGAAATCGAAGAGGCGAGTTCAGAAATCGAAGAGGCAAGCTCAAAGATCGAAGAGACGTCTACTTTCTCAAAAGCTGGGCTGCTCAGAAACCACGGGCCGATCTCAGATATCGAAGAGGCGCCAGTCTTTTTCAGCCTCGTCAGCACCTATCACATGCACACTCAGCTGTGCGAAAATCACGGATAATTTGTCGAAGCGCCTATCTCAGATATCGAAGAGGCGCCAGTCTTTTTCAGCCTCGTCAGCACCTGTCACATGCACACTTAAATTTGCGGAAATTACGGGCAATTTGTCGAAGATTTCTGATGAAGAAGAAAACGCGTAGAGCCATACTAATCAATCACTCAATGGTTGCCAACACGAGTGAAAGAATAGTACCTCTACAGGTATTAAAGAACTTCCTATAACTGTCCACCTTCACCGTCCATAGCAAGGCAGACCTGCAAAAAAAAAAAAAATGCCTAACCCTTCCTTATTTCCGAGAGTACACTCTCAGCAGAGCCTCTCGAAATACCCAGTTTTCTTCTTCTCCTCTGCAAACAAATGACACCCAAAGCAAAAGTATCTCATATCACCAGGGTAGAAAGCAAGAGTATCTCATATCATGCTTTCTCCCTGTCTTTTCCTTTGTCCTTGTTCTTACCTGCAAAGACAAGGATAAAGAAAGCAATATGTCGGAACCTCCACTCAAACTCCGGGCAAGGAACCGACTACCGGGAACCTTTGCCCGATTGCTTACCTGGCTTTGCTCTTGAGTACTCATCTTCAGTTACTGATGTACTTCCGAAAAAGATGCCATATTTTCCCGGAGAACAGATAAGGCAAGTGAAAATGATACCTTGAAGCATGTGGAGACAACGTGCTGATTTCCTTCAAGATCAAGTCTCCCCTTCTTTGCACAATCCACCAACCCAGCAGAAGGAGTCTGAGTTGAATCCAAGAGCTCGAGAAGTTTCAACAAACATATTGGCGGCACCATTGTCGAAGAACAAAGCCTCGCTGTGCAACGCTGTTAAATCGCCACCACTTCTTCGAAAGCAAGAGTATTTCATATCATGCTTTCTCCCTATCCTTTTCTTTGTCCTTGTTTTTACCTGCGGGACAAGGAGAAAGAAAGCAATCAGACAGCACTTGGTATCAAACTTCCGATCTGGAATCAACTGCTTGGAACCCTTCCCTGATTGCTTACCTAGCACTGCTTTCGAAATACCCATTGTTTCAACATCTTATGCTTCTAGAGAAAATACCACATCTGCCTGAAGAACAGATAAGGCAAGGAAAATGATACATTGAAGCATGTAGAGACAAGCACAACAAAACACGAGTCGATTCATCCGTTACTTCTTCAAAATCAAAAGTATCTCATATCATTAGGGTTTCAATCACTCTGGGTTTGGTGGACCTGTTTTGACCCTCAAATTCTTGGGTCGACCCGCTAGACGTTGTGAACTACACGTGCCGATTTACCACCCTTGAATCAAATCCTTAAAGATCAGGTCACCAACTGGAAGAAAAGCCCATCAATCTTGAAGATCATACCGTTGATTAAACTGCTCAGGTGTGAATTGGAAAGATTGAACAAAGCAACAAGTCGTCACTTTCACCTCGTGCCTGCTTGCAATATGTTCGAGTCAACCTTCAAGAATCAAGTCTCAACGGCCCTTGAAGAAGTTTCCAGCCAAATTCAAGATCAAGCCTCGACGGCCCTTGAGGAAATCACAAGTCCGATTCAAGATTAAGTGTCTACCACCCTTAAATCAAAACCTAGTTCAAGAATAACATGTGGAAAGTCAACAATTGGAGGAAACCAAAAAAAAAAGTCCTCCGAACCAGTTCAAGATCGAAGCTGTGGAAAGTCAACAATTGGAGGAAACCAGAAAATCCTCCGAACCAGTTCAAGATCAAAGCTGTGGAAAGTCAATAAGCGCAACAAAATACGTGCCGATTCACCCACTACCAAAGCAAAATATCATCTACCACATAAAGCTCATTGTGGTCCAATTTCAACCTTCAAGATCAAGCCTCAACGGCCTTTGAAGAATCTCAAACAAAGTTCAAGATCAAGCCCCAACGGCCCTTGAAGAAATCATCAACCCAGTTCAAGATCAAGCCTCAACGGCCCTTGGATCAACATCTGCAGTAAGGGACTTCAAAACGCATCTTCTACACGTGACAAGCACATGTATACGATGCGCCTTGAAGTGGGGGCACTTGTAGACATCGAAATTTCGGTAAAATAAATGTTGATAAAAAAAAATTAAAATTTCAATGTTTATGTGTCACATAAATTTTACACATAGCATGTGACTAAACGAAAAATCAAATAAATCGGAAAAGTCATCAAACAGGACACGTGTCAACACCTGGCAGAGATGATTTATTCCATCTAATTATTTAAATCCAAAAAATCAAGTTTTGGAATTCTATAATAGAAGGCCAAGGCATTCATTTGAAGGACACCAATTGATAACCAATTCACATTACACTAAAACCTTGAAGCTTTGAAACTCAAAAGCTCCCAAGCAAATCCCGAAGAATCAAGAGAGCTCTCTTCGTTCTTCGTCAAATCCTCATTCAAGATCAAGCCCCAACGGCCCTTGAAGAACTTCCACCAATTCAAGATCAAGCCCCGACGGCCCTTGAAGAAAGTGTTCATCGTTCATCATTCGTTCATCCTTAGATCAAGCCCCGACGGCCCTTTGGATCCACGACGTCAACAAATCTGCACAACTGTTTATCCCAAGATCAAATCCACCCATTGCAAAGATAGAATCAGAGGCTAAATTTGTAGAAGAGATTGTAACCCCTAAATCATCAATACAAATATTATTTTGTACATGTGTTTCTTGTCTCGTTCATCGCAGGGAATTTCCGTGTTCACACCCCCTCCCTAATTCATCGTGGGCGCGTGAGGCTTTTGTCCTTTGTGGAGCTTTTTTCACAAGGCGACATGTGGATTTTTGGGTAAAAAGAACAAAATTACC